GTTGTTGTTGTTGTTGTTGTTGTTGTTGTTGTTGTTGTTGTTGTTGTTGTTGTTGTTGTTGTTGTTGTTGTTGTTGTTGTTGTTGTTGTTGTTGTTGTTGTTGTTGTTGTTGTTGTTGTTGTTGTTGTTGTTGTTGTTGTTGTTGTTGTTGTTGTTGTTGTTGTTGTTGTTGTTGTTGTTGTTGTTGTTGTTGTTGTTGTTGTTGTTGTTGTTGTTGTTGTTGTTGTTGTTGTTGTTGTTGTTGTTGTTGTTGTTGTTGTTGTTGTTGTTGTTGTTGTTGTTGTTGTTGTTGTTGTTGTTGTTGTTGTTGTTGTTGTTGTTGTTGTTGTTGTTGTTGTTGTTGTTGTTGTTGTTGTTGTTGTTGTTGTTGTTGTTGTTGTTGTTGTTGTTGTTGTTGTTGTTGTTGTTGTTGTTGTTGTTGTTGTTGTTGTTGTTGTTGTTGTTGTTGTTGTTGTTGTTGTTGTTGTTGTTGTTGTTGTTGTTGTTGTTGTTGTTGTTGTTGTTGTTGTTGTTGTTGTTGTTGTTGTTGTTGTTGTTGTTGTTGTTGTTGTTGTTGTTGTTGTTGTTGTTGTTGTTGTTGTTGTTGTTGTTGTTGTTGTTGTTGTTGTTGTTGTTGTTGTTGTTGTTGTTGTTGTTGTTGTTGTTGTTGTTGTTGTTGTTGTTGTTGTTGTTGTTGTTGTTGTTGTTGTTGTTGTTGTTGTTGTTGTTGTTGTTGTTGTTGTTGTTGTTGTTGTTGTTGTTGTTGTTGTTGTTGTTGTTGTTGTTGTTGTTGTTGTTGTTGTTGTTGTTGTTGTTGTTGTTGTTGTTGTTGTTGTTGTTGTTGTTGTTGTTGTTGTTGTTGTTGTTGTTGTTGTTGTTGTTGTTGTTGTTGTTGTTGTTGTTGTTGTTGTTGTTGTTGTTGTTGTTGTTGTTGTTGTTGTTGTTGTTGTTGTTGTTGTTGTTGTTGTTGTTGTTGTTGTTGTTGTTGTTGTTGTTGTTGTTGTTGTTGTTGTTGTTGTTGTTGTTGTTGTTGTTGTTGTTGTTGTTGTTGTTGTTGTTGTTGTTGTTGTTGTTGTTGTTGTTGTTGTTGTTGTTGTTGTTGTTGTTGTTGTTGTTGTTGTTGTTGTTGTTGTTGTTGTTGTTGTTGTTGTTGTTGTTGTTGTTGTTGTTGTTGTTGTTGTTGTTGTTGTTGTTGTTGTTGTTGTTGTTGTTGTTGTTGTTGTTGTTGTTGTTGTTGTTGTTGTTGTTGTTGTTGTTGTTGTTGTTGTTGTTGTTGTTGTTGTTGTTGTTGTTGTTGTTGTTGTTGTTGTTGTTGTTGTTGTTGTTGTTGTTGTTGTTGTTGTTGTTGTTGTTGTTGTTGTTGTTGTTGTTGTTGTTGTTGTTGTTGTTGTTGTTGTTGTTGTTGTTGTTGTTGTTGTTGTTGTTGTTGTTGTTGTTGTTGTTGTTGTTGTTGTTGTTGTTGTTGTTGTTGTTGTTGTTGTTGTTGTTGTTGTTGTTGTTGTTGTTGTTGTTGTTGTTGTTGTTGTTGTTGTTGTTGTTGTTGTTGTTGTTGTTGTTGTTGTTGTTGTTGTTGTTGTTGTTGTTGTTGTTGTTGTTGTTGTTGTTGTTGTTGTTGTTGTTGTTGTTGTTGTTGTTGTTGTTGTTGTTGTTGTTGTTGTTGTTGTTGTTGTTGTTGTTGTTGTTGTTGTTGTTGTTGTTGTTGTTGTTGTTGTTGTTGTTGTTGTTGTTGTTGTTGTTGTTGTTGTTGTTGTTGTTGTTGTTGTTGTTGTTGTTGTTGTTGTTGTTGTTGTTGTTGTTGTTGTTGTTGTTGTTGTTGTTGTTGTTGTTGTTGTTGTTGTTGTTGTTGTTGTTGTTGTTGTTGTTGTTGTTGTTGTTGTTGTTGTTGTTGTTGTTGTTGTTGTTGTTGTTGTTGTTGTTGTTGTTGTTGTTGTTGTTGTTGTTGTTGTTGTTGTTGTTGTTGTTGTTGTTGTTGTTGTTGTTGTTGTTGTTGTTGTTGTTGTTGTTGTTGTTGTTGTTGTTGTTGTTGTTGTTGTTGTTGTTGTTGTTGTTGTTGTTGTTGTTGTTGTTGTTGTTGTTGTTGTTGTTGTTGTTGTTGTTGTTGTTGTTGTTGTTGTTGTTGTTGTTGTTGTTGTTGTTGTTGTTGTTGTTGTTGTTGTTGTTGTTGTTGTTGTTGTTGTTGTTGTTGTTGTTGTTGTTGTTGTTGTTGTTGTTGTTGTTGTTGTTGTTGTTGTTGTTGTTGTTGTTGTTGTTGTTGTTGTTGTTGTTGTTGTTGTTGTTGTTGTTGTTGTTGTTGTTGTTGTTGTTGTTGTTGTTGTTGTTGTTGTTGTTGTTGTTGTTGTTGTTGTTGTTGTTGTTGTTGTTGTTGTTGTTGTGAGGAAGCATCATATGCATGTAGGTAATTGGTGGATTTGTTAGTTAATTTGACGCTTTTGGACAATGCTGGACATTTACCAGTTTTTCAATAGTTTCTTGTTGAAAATCAACATTCGGAAGTATTGTTATCGATGCGTAGCCATATTTCTGATCGATTGGTGATAAAATTATTGAAATTGGACCACGGGCAGCTGAGTTATTAACGTTCAAAATCTTTCTTAATTTGTTACATGTTCCATTTTTGGTTTTCACAAAGTGTATCCCCATATAGAAATCAAAGACGTAGTCCTACGTCAAAATCGACCGTGTTACCAAAAGGTTTTGACCACTCTGTCAATAGCGAATGGATTTTAATTCTAAACAAGCCAATCGATTGGTAATTTTTCTTCAAAGCTGCTAAATTGAATACTTTATCAATTTTCAATAGGTCACACAAACGTCCAACTGTTGAAATCGTTATCAAAATTATCACGGATTGTCTGCGAAAAGTGGTTTCCCTAACATAGTCGCCAAACATTACTCCTACGTCAAATCTACGGTCGAGTCTTGGACACAACCTCTTACTTTTTTTTAAACTTTATTTGGGATATTTTTAGCTATAAGCTAGTTTATCTCCGAAAGCCGAGACAGAGGGATAAGACTCAGTTTTGCACAAATTAAGAACAAACGCTTGGAAACCGATAGGTTTCTAATCAAGCTGGCATAAATTGATTATGGTTATCCTTCTGAAGAGTTCTTCTACAGTTCCAGCAACTATACCTTTATTCTATACCTATTATACCTTTTGGAGACCCTGTAAATCCGAGTTTGCCTCCTGGACCAGTCAAGTAGTCATTTGGGAAAACAGATTTCGAAGAGACGTTCGGAAAAAAGCCGTACAATCGTTTCGAAAGGGTATAACCACAAAGTGACAGACGACTAACTGGCGAAGAAATCAATTAAAATAATGTGGTTCGCTGTAATAGAATTTTCATAAAAGCTTGTGCCATCATCCACCAGATGGGTTAGTTCTTTTGTTTTGATTTGAACAAAGTTGATTTTGTGTACAATGATTCTTTGACAGTGTGCAAAGAGTGTATATTTTTGTCGTTATTTTTATGCATTTCAGTTTTGAGTAGAGTGAAAGGGATAAAACCAAAACATTCTAGGACATTTGGTGAAAATGCTAGTACAATCCAGTAGTAGTGTTGCCATGTGGTACAATCCAGTAGAAGTGGTGTTGCCATGTGGTACACTGAAAAATTGCAATAACAGGTTAGTCACCCAAGTTATCGATCCGCTCCGTCTGCCACTTCGTTTGTGGTATATCCAACCGGTGGAACTAACGATTTTAAATTGGCTCACGACTTAACTAGCCTATTGGTCCCAAGTACATCTATAAGCGTACCCCGTTCTAGTAGAAATTCTAGTACTACACTATGTTTGTTTTGATTCGCTATGAAAGTTTGACAGATAAAATGAGGAGTTACCTCATTGGTACAACCTTATCATATATTAACCCTGATGTACTTTTGATGCAAAACTACAAAACAAATACTAACCTAAAGGTTTTTACCTTTAAAAAAAAGGCACAGTCACACACACCCCTAGGCTGAATCCCATCAAATTGGACAGTAAATCACTCGCCGCCAACCAGCCCAGTGGCGATGTGCGGTATAAGAGGTGAGGAGAAAGGAAACTAGTGGACTTTTTCGTTCTCGCGTTTTCTTACGCAGCAACAGACGTGACGTCACGTCTGCTGTTGTATAAGAACACCGTCAGAATGAAAGAGTCCACTAGTTTCCTTTCTCCTCACCTCTTATACCGCACATCGGCCCAGTGGCAGGTGCGTAGACAACATGTTATACAGTGATAGGGGGCCCAGCACAGCAAAATAAATGATTTGAGCCCGGGACATGCTGCCTACTGTCAAACGCTGCTATTGGTATAGGCCTTGCCACTGGCCGGCCGCCAACGGTCACTTGGGCATTGATTTATTCCGACTGGCGTAGCGGCAGCTGCTGGTACTGGTGGCAAACTGAACGCCACCAAATTGGCTAAGTCATCTTGTCGGATTTCCTAAATCCAGTTGGATGCGTTGGAATCGTGGATTTGGTGTGCGATTAAAATCGTCGAAATTATCCTTGGCGGAGGCGTTGGCGGAGGCGTTGGCGGACAGTTTCCAAACAGGTCTTTCAGAATTGCACACTGATAATCAAACAGAGTTATGTTATGTATTTACGCTTGAGATTCTCATGCATATGCACGCACTCACCACTCACAACGCCGAAAAATCATTCCAGCTTTAAACTCATAAAAACCACTCAAACGTCAATTGATAGCTTGCTAATGCATGTTGTGTTAGTTTTCCAACCCCTGATGTATAGTAATATATAATAAATAGCGCCAACATATAAAGAATTTAATTTTTGAACCTGAAAACTCATCGGTGATTCTTGCGACGTTGAATTTTGGAAGGCAAAACTCATAGGCGCATGAAATTTATGTTTTTGAGGTTTACCGAACACTGAGCTCTAATGATACTAACCATACTAACCATACTAATCAATCACGCAGCCTAACAATGCTCTGCAAATTCTCATACCGCATAAGCATAATTCTCCCTAACCAAATCAGCTGAATAATTTATGATTCACTTCCATTAATAGGTTTGAAACCACCAACCACCCCGGCGAGTGCGAGTGTGTGTACAGCAAATTCCCAGCCGATTTGGCGAAGTCCCATAAGCATACAATGACAGACACCCCCTTCGTGTACGGCGTGGAGTTGAAATCACCACCACCGACCACGGAAACCGACCAGCTTACGCAGTACGACCGTTTTCTCAAGACGAAAAATATGACCGAACATTTTTTGCAGAGCGCCCACCTCCAGCATCACCAGCATCACAGTCATCATCATCATCATCATCAGCAAGCCATGGATCAAACGTCGTCCCTGCTAGTGAACGGTGACTATTACTATACGACCCCGAACTCGTCCCTGAGTGACGATGCCTCCAATCTGACGTCCTCGCTGGGGCAAATCCTGCGTCACAACATCATGGCCGAATGGTCACTGCGAGGGGGCTCCAGTGCCGTCACAGCGGCAACCACTGGGACCACCCCCCACGAGGCGGTGGTGGTGGCTGCTACCGGTGGAACCGGGACCGGTGGCTCTTCGGCGGCTGCTGCTGCTGCTGCCAGTCGGGGCAGTGGGGATTCAACGTTCCAAAATAATCTCATTATCCCTTTGTATGCGGTCATCTTTCTGCTGTCGGTTGTGGGCAACCTGCTGGTCATCCTGACGCTGGCCCAGAACAAACGGATGCGAACCGTTACCAATGTTTATCTACTTAATTTGGTGAGTATGCTATTTGTTAAGTGGGATGTTTTTGGTTCCGGGGTTGTGTTGACTATATGGGTAATTAAATGCTTGACAGGGGCTAAATGACGACGGCGTTGAGCAAACACTTAAAATTTCCCTGGGAAGGTTGCATTAGGAAAAGATTACACAGTTTTTCAAGGCCAAATTTTGAAATTCCTATGACAGTGCATACGAATTTTCTTCATAATTTATTTTAATTTAATGAAATTCTGTTAAAATATTCGAATTCAATTCTGCAAGCATTCTGAAATAAATTCGAATGAAATTCTGTATGATTTTCGAATGAAATTCTGCTAGAATTTTGGATGACAATCTTCTATAATACTGGTAAAATTTTATAGGAACCTGCAAGAATTCCAGATTACGTTCTGCAAATATCTATAAATTCTGCACAAAATTCCCGCGGTTTGTGAATAAAGATGGCTCCAGCAGTAAGTGCTAGTCGATTGTGACATATCGAAAACGTCATGAATCAAGCTTAAACATATGGTACACAAACTGCTTTCACACATTAATGATTTTGTGTTGGCGTCATATACTTTTGGTTGTGTGAAAACGTCTGATTTTGTGCCAAATAATCGTCATTTGATTTCTTCTTCCATTCGACGAAAACGGCGGCTACAGCTCATCGAGGGCTCCAACAAGTTTACGGAGATGCCAGTTACCTTCGATGGACAAGCTCAGCTGCGATTCCAGCCCCGGACATCGATGGTGATAAAGTTGCTGTGAGGTGGAACACGGTGTTGTGCTGAAGAATCCAGGGTTGTTCTGTCTTTCAAACACCAATTACATAACTCGCGACCGGTTAATTAATTAACTACACTTTATTTGAGTCAACATGCAAACAATTTAATTTCAAACACTACATATATTCAGCACTACATATAAAACTTAAATTAACACGAATTAAAATTCCTCCGTGGGTCTCCGCGCGTGCGATTCGGTGACTTGGTTGAGGTGGACTGGTTGCAGCTTCCGAAGATCGCCGTAGGTAGTCCGGTGCTTCATTGATGCGATGATTTCCTCCGTCGATATCTGAGAGTGGGTGATATTCTCACCGCTCTTATCACTAGTCATCCTTATCAATCCTACAGCAATCGATGACGATGATGGTGATGATGCCGATGATGATGGCTTCGCTCTCTCCAGAGTGAGTGATCCTGCGTGTGCTGAGAAAACTGATTCGATCGTGTAGGGCTAGATCGACATATCGGTGTGTGGTTCTTGTGCTGCTTTGGTGCTAGTCGCGTGGGGATGCCATGGTTGTAGTCGGATGGGTCACACTCCTCGACATTCTCACCCACCCTGAAATTCGCTGAATTTCTGAAAGTAAAAGCAGATCCTCTTCGACTGGATGGGATGGGGAAGGGAATGTGGTTCTATGTCGCTGAGGCTGTTTCGTTCGGCTTCGCTCTGTCATCTTCATCAGGAAGCGGCAGGATACAAAGCTTTTCGACCGGTCTTTTTAAAAAACCTGTGGCAGTTTTTAGGGTAACAACTCTGACCACACCGTCCTTACCAGGGTGGACTTCACAAATTCTTCCCATTTTCCATTTCGTGGGGGGTTGGTTATCGTCCTTATGACTACCAACTTGCCTACATCGACTGGAACTGCTGGCTGCCATCGTTTAGTCCGAGCTTGAAGCTGGCAGAGGTATTCCCTGCGCCATCTCTTCCAAAAGTCTTGCAGTCTCCTTTGCGTTAGTTGTAGGGAATCCAGACGGTTAACTGGCAGCTCTGTTAAACTGGGTTCAGGGATCGACTGAAGGGATGAGCCGATCAGAAAATGTGCGGGTGTTAACGGCTCGAGGTCATTGGGGTCATCGGAAAGAGGCGTGAGAGGGCGGGAGTTGAGGCAAGCTTTGACTTGAGTTAGCAGCGTATTGAATTCCTCCGGGGTTACTGGTGTCTCGCCAATCACCCTCAGCAAGTGGTATTTAGTTGAGCGGACGGCTGCCTCCCACAAACCTCCGAAATGAGGAGCGCTCGGCGGAATAAAATGCCACTGAATACCATCCTTGGCGCATTCCTTGGATACAGTGTCATTATGGTCGTGGCTCTTCAACAGTTTTAGCAATTCTTGCAATTCGTTTCGCGCGCCGACGAAATTAGTGCCGTTGTCTGAGTAAATATCTGTACAAAGACCTCTCCGGGACACGAATCGTCGTAAAGCCTGTAGGAATCGGTCAGTTGACAAATCTGACACGAGTTCCAAATGTATGGCCTTTGTGCAGAGGCATATGAATATAGCAACATATGCTTTAACTGCGGTGCGTCGAGGACCAGGCCGTAGATAAACTGGACCAAAGTAATCAACGCCAGTGGAAGAATAAGGACGGGATACGGTGACTCGTGCAGCTGGTAAATCACCCATTAATTGTTGAACGGTCAATGATTTTGAGCGAACGCATTTCAGGCACTTATGAACGATGTTCCTGACGACGCTTCTTCCACTCAACGGCCAAAATCGAAGTCGAATTACGCTTAACATCAGCTGAGGTCCCGCATGAAGTAGACGCTCGTGGTAGTGTTGCAGCAATAACCGGGTGAAAGGATGTCGTGCTGGAAGAACGACGGGATGTTTAGTTTGTTCCGATTCCATAGAATGCTTCAGTCGTCCTCCTAGCTTGAGCAGTTGATCCTCGGAAAGAAACGGGTTAAACCAACGTAATGGTGAATCCCTCGGGACCATGTTTTCCTTTGTGAGAGCCTCCAACTCCTTGCCAAAGACTTCCTTCTGCACTAGACCTACCAATGTATTTTCTGACTCCGTGAGCTCGGCGGTGGAAAGGAAAGCTGTGTTATTCCGTTGGGAAGACGGTGTTCGAAGTAGTTTCATCAAACGAAGCCAGTATGCGGTGCGACGAACGAGATCGGAGTATGACGAAAATTTACGGATGTACTCATGGTTGAACTCTGCGAGTGTGGAAACGCATCCTGCGATAACCGTTCGACGTTTTTCTTCTTCAACCTCTCCTGTTGATTGTATCTTCGGTGATCTAGGCCATTGGTCTGAGTTCTCCTCCAGCCAGGTAGGTCCTCGCCACCAGAATTGGTTTTCCAGGATGTCAGGAATTCCCCGGGAAATCAAGTCTGCTGGATTTTGGGTCCCAGGAACATGAAACCATCGACCACCCTCAGTGTTATTTTGGATTTTGGCCACCCTGTTGGCGACGAAAGTGGTCCAAGTCATTGGGGGAGCCTCAATCCAACGTAAAACGCACGTAGAATCCGTCCAGAAATAGCAATCAGCATCAATCCTAATCGATTCTCGAACCTTGGCGAATAGCTGTCTGTCTGTCTGTGCAGAAGTGCTCCACACATACAGACAGGCGCCATATGCCTTCTCCGAGGCGTCGGAGAAACAGTGAATTTCGACTGCTATTGTTTGTGGGATGAAAACTCTGTCTGTCTGTCTGTCTGTCTGTCTGTCTGTCTGTCTGTCTGTCTGTCTGTCTGTCTGTCTGTCTGTCTGTCTGTCTGTCTGTCTGTCTGTCTGTCTGTCTGTCTGTCTGTCTGTCTGTCTGTCTGTCTGTCTGTCTGTCTGTCTGTCTGTCTGTCTGTCTGTCTGTCTGTCTGTCTGTCTGTCTGTCTGTCTGTCTGTCTGTCTGTCTGTCTGTCTGTCTGTCTGTCTGTCTGTCTGTCTGTCTGTCTGTCTGTCTGTCTGTCTGTCTGTCTGTCTGTCTGTCTGTCTGTCTGTCTGTCTGTCTGTCTGTCTGTCTGTCTGTCTGTCTGTCTGTCTGTCTGTCTGTCTGTCTGTCTGTCTGTCTGTCTGTCTGTCTGTCTGTCTGTCTGTCTGTCTGTCTGTCTGTCTGTCTGTCTGTCTGTCTGTCTGTCTGTCTGTCTGTCTGTCTGTCTGTCTGTCTGTCTGTCTGTCTGTCTGTCTGTCTGTCTGTCTGTCTGTCTGTCTGTCTGTCTGTCTGTCTGTCTGTCTGTCTGTCTGTCTGTCTGTCTGTCTGTCTGTCTGTCTGTCTGTCTGTCTGTCTGTCTGTCTGTCTGTCTGTCTGTCTGTCTGTCTGTCTGTCTGTCTGTCTGTCTGTCTGTCTGTCTGTCTGTCTGTCTGTCTGTCTGTCTGTCTGTCTGTCTGTCTGTCTGTCTGTCTGTCTGTCTGTCTGTCTGTCTGTCTGTCTGTCTGTCTGTCTGTCTGTCTGTCTGTCTGTCTGTCTGTCTGTCTGTCTGTCTGTCTGTCTGTCTGTCTGTCTGTCTGTCTGTCTGTCTGTCTGTCTGTCTGTCTGTCTGTCTGTCTGTCTGTCTGTCTGTCTGTCTGTCTGTCTGTCTGTCTGTCTGTCTGTCTGTCTGTCTGTCTGTCTGTCTGTCTGTCTGTCTGTCTGTCTGTCTGTCTGTCTGTCTGTCTGTCTGTCTGTCTGTCTGTCTGTCTGTCTGTCTGTCTGTCTGTCTGTCTGTCTGTCTGTCTGTCTGTCTGTCTGTCTGTCTGTCTGTCTGTCTGTCTGTCTGTCTGTCTGTCTGTCTGTCTGTCTGTCTGTCTGTCTGTCTGTCTGTCTGTCTGTCTGTCTGTCTGTCTGTCTGTCTGTCTGTCTGTCTGTCTGTCTGTCTGTCTGTCTGTCTGTCTGTCTGTCTGTCTGTCTGTCTGTCTGTCTGTCTGTCTGTCTGTCTGTCTGTCTGTCTGTCTGTCTGTCTGTCTGTCTGTCTGTCTGTCTGTCTGTCTGTCTGTCTGTCTGTCTGTCTGTCTGTCTGTCTGTCTGTCTGTCTGTCTGTCTGTCTGTCTGTCTGTCTGTCTGTCTGTCTGTCTGTCTGTCTGTCTGTCTGTCTGTCTGTCTGTCTGTCTGTCTGTCTGTCTGTCTGTCTGTCTGTCTGTCTGTCTGTCTGTCTGTCTGTCTGTCTGTCTGTCTGTCTGTCTGTCTGTCTGTCTGTCTGTCTGTCTGTCTGTCTGTCTGTCTGTCTGTCTGTCTGTCTGTCTGTCTGTCTGTCTGTCTGTCTGTCTGTCTGTCTGTCTGTCTGTCTGTCTGTCTGTCTGTCTGTCTGTCTGTCTGTCTGTCTGTCTGTCTGTCTGTCTGTCTGTCTGTCTGTCTGTCTGTCTGTCTGTCTGTCTGTCTGTCTGTCTGTCTGTCTGTCTGTCTGTCTGTCTGTCTGTCTGTCTGTCTGTCTGTCTGTCTGTCTGTCTGTCTGTCTGTCTGTCTGTCTGTCTGTCTGTCTGTCTGTCTGTCTGTCTGTCTGTCTGTCTGTCTGTCTGTCTGTCTGTCTGTCTGTCTGTCTGTCTGTCTGTCTGTCTGTCTGTCTGTCTGTCTGTCTGTCTGTCTGTCTGTCTGTCTGTCTGTCTGTCTGTCTGTCTGTCTGTCTGTCTGTCTGTCTGTCTGTCTGTCTGTCTGTCTGTCTGTCTGTCTGTCTGTCTGTCTGTCTGTCTGTCTGTCTGTCTGTCTGTCTGTCTGTCTGTCTGTCTGTCTGTCTGTCTGTCTGTCTGTCTGTCTGTCTGTCTGTCTGTCTGTCTGTCTGTCTGTCTGTCTGTCTGTCTGTCTGTCTGTCTGTCTGTCTGTCTGTCTGTCTGTCTGTCTGTCTGTCTGTCTGTCTGTCTGTCTGTCTGTCTGTCTGTCTGTCTGTCTGTCTGTCTGTCTGTCTGTCTGTCTGTCTGTCTGTCTGTCTGTCTGTCTGTCTGTCTGTCTGTCTGTCTGTCTGTCTGTCTGTCTGTCTGTCTGTCTGTCTGTCTGTCTGTCTGTCTGTCTGTCTGTCTGTCTGTCTGTCTGTCTGTCTGTCTGTCTGTCTGTCTGTCTGTCTGTCTGTCTGTCTGTCTGTCTGTCTTGTCTGTCTGTCTGTCTGTCTGTCTTGTCTGTCTGTCTGTCTTGTCTGTCTGTCTGTCTGTCTGTCTGTCTGTCTGTCTGTCTGTCTGTCTGTCTGTCTGTCTGTCTGTCTGTCTGTCTGTCTGTCTGTCTGTCTGTCTGTCTGTCTGTCTGTCTGTCTGTCTGTCTGTCTGTCTGTCTGTCTGTAGGTATTTTTAGAACCGAAATGATGTCTAGAGCGAGGGGGACGATTCTATCTACGATGCAAAAAAGATTGTGTTTTGCTGTGGCTAGCGGCGCGCACGCTGAGTAGATAGAAAGAAGATTGATGACGATTCTGAAGATTTCCTGTAAAAAGATGATGAGCGATGCAAGTAGATGCGGCAAATGAAAGAAGATTTTTCGAAGATAGATTCGCTAGTGTGAGATTTGTTGAGCATCTAAACTTGAGATTTAGATGTGTCGCCCCCCTCGCATTTGTCACGAAAATGAATCACAGCCGGCACGCACGTTTTAATTCCAGTACTTCTGGATTCCTGGCGATGCGTTTAAGCCTTGATATTTAACGGATTTTCCAAGCATGGTTCCTTTGCACCTCTATAGTGTTACGAAAATCATTCAACTTCTAAAAGATAACATACGAATTTATACAGATTTATAACATTTTCCATTTTCACTTCCATGGCTGCTTGAAATCGAAAACGAATGAAATTTCTAATCCTACTATCAATACAAGCTGATATGTGTACACACCTTTAAAAAAAAACATACGAAAACATATATTCATTTTATCCATTGAGAATTACATACATGTGAAATCAGTGACAGTTACTCCAAAAGACCCTGTACATAAGCTTTTAGCTGTAGCGAGAGCTGTAGGTATTCGTCTAGTATAAAAAAAAATTACTCATTCATGTTCTATGAAGAGATATCAGAATGCTGAGGTAATCGGATGTTGGAGATTTTACCGAGCTAGATTAAGTGTGTAAGTGTATGGTTGACTGGCAAGTCTCAAGTTGCTGGAATGCTCCAGCCAAATGGAGATAATTCTTTGAATCTTTTAAGAGCTTTTGATGTCACTTCAGAGAAATGCAACCGCAGACCTGTTTTGGAAAAACGATTCTCTCATGGGTAAATACCTTCCACAATTTACCTTCCAACAAAAAATAAGTTTGACCTTGACTAGGTTTTTTCGCTGTATACGAATATGAAAATCACTCACAGAATTTGAAGCTCTCAATTAAAAACTGTGCTCATAGATCAAGCGCAAAGTTCCAGTTGGGACGTAATAATCAACAATGAAGAAGACGATGCTCGTCTTCTGAGAGCTTTTCCTTTTCACTGTTTCCCATCACTATAAATCCCTCTCGGCGTATAATTGGGTAGGCTTACTCGCAACCAGTTGACTCTTGCAGCTACTGAAGTCGAACCCACACATCAAAGTTCATGAATCTTTCTGGGAAAAAAAATGGATGAATCCAAAGCCAAGAGGGTCCTAAAACGTCAATCAGTATCGGATTTTCCAGCTCCAACCTGAAAGGGTTGTTTTTTTCATCGAACGAAGTAAAATCCGTTCCGCAACATTTTATATTTTTTCCCGCCCGAAGAAAGGAGAGGACGTAATTCAATCAAATTCCATATTCAAATAACAAGCAAACCGGTCAATAAGCTATTTACATGCTAATCTGCTACCACCGTCACTGTTTTCCAGTCAATTTCCCACGCAGATGAGGATTTTTTTTTTTCGATCCGTAACATTAAAATATGAAAGGTTTCGATAGCAATGGAAAGAGAACGCATCTGCCGAACTTTGAAGCTCAATCCGGGAGAATCCCGAGTAAAAATGTTATGCCTTCATTTGACGATTGATTTTTAGGTTTACGCTGGTTCCCCTGTAGTAAACATCATTGCACCAAATATACTGTATTAACAATATAGTTCATTCTTTTGTTTTTTTCGGAGACACGATTTTGCGTCAGAAAAGGCAACTAATGTATTTTATAAACATTACGAGAGATGCTTCAAAGCTACAAAAGAGATAAAAATCAAAACTTGTTTAAACAATTATTTTCGTGTTCCCAATTAGGTATCTACAGGCCTAAACAATGAGCACAACGCATCGTAATTTGTGTAATTTAATAATATGTTTATGTGTAATAATTTCAAGCCACTCACCCCTCGACCATCACCAAATGCATGTAATGGTATGTCGAACAGGAAGTTTCTATCCCCTGGAAAATCGAAGAGTGAACATTGTTGATATAATACATTTTGATTCAACTCAAGCAATTTCTAGTCGGGAAAACGGGATATTCCGCTTTGAAGCAGCCAACATTTTCAAGAAACCCTCGACTCAAGCAACCCTTAACAACAAAAGGGTTCCGTTTCAAATGTGCATTACGGACTTTTCCACTCTTCACATTCATATTAGATTTCTTCAGGTATAGAAATAAAAAAAAAACGAAATACCTTGAACTTGAACACCATTTTACAGTTTTCTAATTTGCTTTTGCCCACCCAATTTCATTGCGTCGTTTCAGGCTATTTCGGATCTTCTGCTCGGTGTATTCTGCATGCCGTTCACTCTGGTCGGGCAGGTTTTGCGGAAGTTCATATTCGGCAGCATCATGTGCAAGCTGATACCCTACTTTCAAGGTAAGAGCATATTACTGCAAAAAAAATATAATGTAACCCTGAGCATTGACCGTTCTGCCTCTGTCAGCCGTATCGGTGTCGGTGGCCGTTTGGACCTTGGTGGCCATCTCCCTGGAGCGATACTTTGCAATCTGCCGGCCGCTGTCGTCCCGTCGCTGGCAGACGCAGTTCCACGCTTACAAAATGATCGCCCTCGTATGGACGTTAAGCTTCCTGGTGAACTCCCCGCTGTGCTACGTACAACGGTTGCAGCCCGTCCAGAGGCTCCATGCCGCCAGCAGCAATGTTACCTTTACCACAAGCAGCCAACAACAACCGTCAATGCTACCGCCGATGAAGTGCCGCGAAATGTGGCCCGACAAGTCGTACGAACGAGCCTACGTGCTATTCCTGGACGCGGGGCTGCTGTGCTTTCCGCTGTTGACCATGGGATTTGCCTACTCGATGATAGTGTCCAAGCTGTGGCGGGGACTGCGGCGCGAGATACGGCACTCGACCCACCAGAAGCATCAGTGTGAGTATGATTTAGTTCAAAATTGTTTGCAGATTCCACAAGGATTATATTCAATTATTTGGTTCTAGAGCAAATTCTACAAGAATTTATTTATAAATTGTACAATAATTTGCTTACAAATTCTACAAGAATTTGCTTACGAATTCTACAAGAATGTGTGTACAAATTCTACAAGAATTTGTATACAAATTCTACAATAATTTGTTGACAATTTCTTCAAGAATTTGTTTACAAATTCTACAAGAATTATACAACAAATTCTACAAGAATTATACAACAAATTCTACAATAATTTGATTGCAAATTCTACAAGAGTTTTGTACAAATTCTACAAGAATTTAAAAACAAATTCTACAAAAATTTGATAACAAATTCTATAAGAAATTGTTTACACATTCTATAACAATTTGATTGAAAATTCTACAAGAGTTTGTTTACCAATTCTACAATAATTTGTTTACCAATTCATAACAATTTGATTGAAAATTCTACAAGAGTTTGTTTACCAATTCTACAATAATTTGTTTACCAATTCTGCAATAATTTGTTAACAAATTCTACAAGAATTTGTTTACAAATTCTACAAGAATTTGATTACAAATTCTACAAGGATTTGTTTACAAATTCTACAAAAAATTGTTTACAAATTCTACAAAAAAATGTTTAAAAATTATACAAGAATTTGCTTACAAATTCTACAAGTATTTGATTACAAATTCTGCAAGAATTTGTTTACAAACTCTACACGAATTTGTTTACAAATTCTACACGAATTTGTTTCAAAATTCTACACGAATTTGTTAACAAATTCTACAAGTATTTGTTCACAAATTCGACAAGAATTTAACTCCAAATTCTACACGCATTTGTTTACAAATTCTAAAAGAATTTGTTTACAAATTCTACAAGAATTTGAATGCAAATTTAACAAGAATTTGAATGCAAATTTAACAAGAATTTGACTACACATGATACGAGAATTTGACATCAAATACTCCAAGAATTTGACTTAAAATTCTACAAGAACTCGACTACAAATTCCAAAAATTCGACTAAATATTCTACAAGAATTTGACTAACAATTCTAAAAGACTTTAAATACAAATTCTACATGAATTTGCCTACAAATTATTAATAACAAGACTACAAATTCATCAAGAATTTGAATACAAATTCTACAAGAATTTAACTACAAATTCTACAAGAATTTAACTACAAATTCTACAAGAATTTGACTACAAATTCGTCAAGAACATGACTACAAATTCTACACGAATTTGACTACAAATTCAACAATATTTTAACTGAAAATTCTACAAGAATTTGACTTAAAATTCTACAAGAATTTGACTACAAATTCAACACAAATTTGACTACAAATTCTGCAAGAATTTGGCCGCAAATTCTACAAGAATGTGGCTACAACAATTTGAATTCAAATTCTACAAGAATTTGACTTAAAATGCTACAAGAATTCAACTACAAATTCCAAAAATTCGACTAAATATTCTATATGAATTCGACTACAAATTCTAAAAGAATTTGTATACAAATTCTACAAGAATTTGACTCCAAATTCGTCAAGAACTTAATTCTTAAAACTTGACTATAAATTCGTAAAGAACATGACTACAAATTCAACAAGAATTTAACTACAAATTCTACAAGAAATCTAATACCACTTCTACAAGAATTTGACTACAAATTCATCAAGAGCATGACTACAAGTTCTACAAGAATTTGACTACAAATTCTAAAAGAATCTGACTACAAATTCTACAAGAATTTGACAACAAATTCTACAAGAATTTGACTATAAATTGTACAAAAAATTTACTACAAATTCTACAATAATTTAACTACAAATTTAAAAAAAAATGACTACAAATTCTACAATAATTTGACTGCAAATCTGACTACAAATTCTGCAATAATTTGACTTCAAATTCTAGAAAAATTTCACAACAAATTCTATAAGAATTTTACATCAAATCTTACAAGTATTAACTTCAAATTCTACAAGAACTTGACTAAAATTCAACAAGAATTTGACTTCAAATTCGTCAATAACATGACTACAAATTCTAAAAGAATTTTACATCAAATTCTACAAAAAATTTACTGCAAATTCTACAAGAACTTGACTAAAATTCTTCAAGAATTTGACAACAAATTCGTTAATAACATGACTAAAAATTCTACAAAAATTTTGCTAAAAATTCTACAAAAATTTTACTACAAATTTCACAAGAATTTAACCGCAAATTCTACAAGAATTTTACTGCAAAACAAGAATTTTACTGCAAATTCTACAATAATTTTACTGCAAATTCTACAATAATTTGACTTCAAATTCTAATAGAATTTGACTTCAAATTCTAATAGAATTTCTCTTATATATTATTGAATTTGACTTCAAATTCTAATAGAATTTCTCTTATATATTATTGAATTTGACTTCAAATTCTAATAGAATTTGCCTTCAAGTTCTAATAGAATTTGACTTCAAGTTCTAATAGAATTTGACTTCAAATTCTAATAGAATTTGACTTCAAATTCTAATAGAATTTGACTTCAAATTCTAATAGAATTTGACTTCAAATTCTAATAGAATTTGACTTCAAATTAGACCTGTGCGCCGCCGCGCCACGCCGCCGCCGCCGACGATTTTCGTACGCCGCCGCCGCCGATGAAATTTAGCCGGCGCGCCGCCGAAGTAAAATCTTCCACGCCGCCGAATAAATTTATGTCACGCCGATGACAAATCCGTAGCACCCTTTAGGTTAAATTTATCTTGAACGCGTTGAAATTAGCGTGTGGTGCAGCGATTGTCATTTAGTCTTTTGACGTTTGTTCGCACTTTCTCGATCTAGCACACAGGAATGAATAATTCAAGTCGGATTTACATAAAGGAGGATAAGTGAATATAGGGTATCCCAGAATGTCTAAGCACGACTTTCGAACACCCCTGCTTGTTTCAGATGCCGTTTAAACAGCTGATTATCACGCTGAATTATTGTTTACATTTCGACCAACAGTTTCGTGTATCGCAAGTTGCGGTTCTTTACATTTCCGTGACAATGCGAAGCATTTCTCCGGAAAAGCGCAAACAGATCGTGCACAAATGATGTACTATACCCATTTTCTTTTAAATATCATTATTAAGGAAACTTTCAGCCCAATTCCCAACATTTCTCTGAGTAAATTAGCGAAATTGGAAGGTGTAAGCATCGGAGCCGTTCGAAACGCGATTCAGAAGTATGGTGATGAAGCAACTTTCCAGGACAAGCAAAAATCTGGAGGTAAACCGAACCCTTTTGACCAAAATCTGAACCGGAAAATCGTGCAAGCTTTCACTCGCAAGAAAAAGCAGGGCTGGTAGCAGGTCACTTTTTAGTGACTTGGTCACTATTTTGAAGCCAGTCACTAAAAAGTTACTTTTTACACCAAAAAGTCACTAAAGTCACTATTTCCCTAAACATAGCCACTAAAGTCACTTTTTCACTACTAAAATAGAGTGAAATTTAAAAATATCAACAATATGTTTAAATTGAGTACTTAGCACTAAAGTCTAAAGTAGTTTTGACAAAATATACATATCTGTTAAAAAAAATTAAAATTTTAAACAGGGTGATCAGTGAACCGCAAAACTTTTGAACACCAGGAAAACTATTGGGAAATGCCTTCAAATTCGATTAAAAATCGGGGAAAATATACCTCCATTCCCAGAAAATACATTGTAAACCTTGGAAATTTGCCAAATGTATTTGTCTGTGATAGATTTTCAAATGTCTTTCAAGGATGATTAATAACTTTAAAAAATCCAAAGTATATTTTAATAGAATTTTGAAGGATATCAGAGAAGAATACCAAAGTACAGACTACGAAAGTCTCTTGTGAAATTAAGTGCTCTGAGGACCGATTTCTTCATCTCCGCTTAAATCTTAAGCCAGTTTAACCTATATAGTTAAACTTGGCTTAACACATACAAGCGTCGCTTTTGATTATTGTTTAAATTATTAGAGACGCAAAATTTAGCTCCGACACAATTTTGGAAATAATTCCAATATAATTGAGGGTGCATTTAACGAGAGTTCTGAGAAAAATTCTATGATGATTAGTTGAGGATTCTAGGTCCAATTCTAATAAGAATTGAGGGGGTTAGAAAAGGGGTGTAAGTGTGTAAGTGACTTTGATCTATTCTCTTCACCGACTTTTTCTTTTGACAGTCACAGCTTTACAAACAGATTTTGCGCTATTTCTCCTACATAGTTTGATAAAGGAGGTTCTCATCTTGCATCCGAAATGGCACACGAATCAAGGAATTATTATCGAAAGAGAAAGTCGATGAAGAGAAGCGATCAAAGTCACTTACACCCTTTTCCTTCTAACCACTTCAATTCAAAATTAGTTCTGAAATTCTAAAGAGTTCGAAATAAATTCCGAGAATTCCAATGGAATCGAATTTTGAAGGTTCAATCTCGAAGGAATTCTGAGAATAGTTTCAAAGTTATTCTGTGATGGATTTTCATTTTAAGAATTCTGAGAAAAAACTATGGGAATTCTAAGGAGAATATGAATTGAATTTCCAATTGAATGCAGGGGAGAAGTCCATGATTATTCTAACCTGAAATTTATTAAATGTCTCGAAATTCTAAGGAGAATTCAAATAAATTTAAAATGGATTTATGGAATGGGCCTTCAGGGAGTTCCTAGAAGAACCAATATCAAATCGAAAATGATCTACTTTAACTGTTCATGTGTTATTACTTCATGCGTAAATTTAACGATTTACTTAGTAGGAGATGCTTAACGTCAAATATCAGACTTAAAGTTGAGATTTTATGCCATAGATGAGGAGATTAAATTATAGAGTGGATAGTTCCGTTATAATAAGGCAGAGTAAAAATTGTATATACAAAGTAGAAAACGAGCAAAGGAAAATTTTGAGGAAAATACGAATCGGGTAGTTGTTTACGTCAGATGGCGACTTGAGTGTG